CGTGTATGTGTGTATATGCGTGTAAGTGTGTGTATGTGCGTGTGCATGTGTGCGTATCTGTGTGTCTGTGTGTGTCGGTGTCTGTATGTTAGTGCGAATGTATAAAGACAGTCCAACCTAATACATGCGAAGTCAGCATTTCTAATGCATCAAGCACATGTGTGTGTGTGTGTCGTTGTGGACTTTTCAAAACTGTGCTTTCTGGAAAAACAAGTTTCAGACGAAGCCGGAAGAATTTCAGTCGAATCACAAAAGTACGGGATTTTTTGATACTTCCGAAATAACTGAAAATAAAAAAAATAATAATAAATGCAAAAGGACATCTGCCGACCTGCTCTCCCAGTCATGCATAACCTCGTTGATATCATCCTTTGTTGTAAGCCCGGCCGCTGTTGCAGCATCGCCAACTGCATAAAATGTCATCCTCCAGCCATACCTCCTTCCTCGAATGCAGGTCTAGCCTGCAAAACACGAATGCAATTTGTATACATAAAAGCTGTCAGGAGCGCGATCGGCGACGCAAGTTTCCTGAAATCAGGAAATTTCAAAACCAGAGAAATGAACAGAAATTCACGAACATCAAAGCTTCAATTCCGTTCCAAAATTATACATTTACACATCGGCTTCATACAACTCTATAATCATTCTTCGTATAGGCGGATCCAGGAGACGGGGCGGAGAGGGCGGTAGGGCCATGGGTCTTTCGTCCCTTCCCCCAGTGGTACAGGCACCAGTGCCTCAAAAGCCCGGGTCTGGAGCTAAAACTAAAGCAACCTAAAGCCTAAAGTAACAATGTTACAACTCCATCTCTTATTTTCGTACAGCTCCGGGGGTGGGCTCTCCTCCCCAACTCTCATCGCCCTCCCCCACCCACCCCAAGAGTCTGCCTTGGATCCGCCTATGATTCTTTGTGAGAAAAGGATGCATATTTTAATTAGAGAGTATTTCAAGTGGTAGCATCTGCTAGCAAAAAGCGACCACCCGCACTGCTATCGATAACCCTTGCTTGCTTGCCGCAGCTAAGGAAGCTTATGGATGTTTTAGCTCTCCAGCATATAGCATTACCAATCTACCATCAAAACAAAAGAAGAAATCGATTACCCACCGCTAATGAAATGGTACCTTTGACCCTGAACAGCACTGAAGCTGTACATGTGATTTCAAAATTCTTCCGAATGGTTTTTGAGTTACTTTTTGTCTCGTCCTTTTTCCTTCATGCAAAATTTACGGTAATCATGCATGCGGGAGGTTAAGATCTCACGCGGCCCCATAATGCAACAACATGCTCCCAATCGACGCCCTTTCCTCCTGGCAAAAATGTTGTCCAGTTGCAATGCTAACAATAAAAAGGAATACAATATAGCTCAGTCTACCGAAACACTGCTTTTAAGATTCACCTTCTTTCCCTTTCCCTCATAAAACAATTTTTCGTTTCCCATAGATTTTTCATTTAATCCTGCGCTTTTCCTGTATCCTTTCTCTTTCCCTCCCCTTTCATTAACTTTCCTTTCTATGAAAACCTTTTAACTAATCATGTTCCTTTGCTGGTAAGCTCTCTTCCTAACTTAAGCAATTTTCTCAATACAGGGATCAATTTGTTCAGTTCTGAAATTCCAAATTGAAACAGTTATAAGAAACGAAACTGGTAATGGTACCAAAAAACACCAACTACTGCACACAAGATAAAAAGCATTAAAAAAAACAAGATATTTGCCGTCATTACGCTCAAAATTGACATATTTAGATGAGAAAGGGAAGCGTAGGCATAAAAATATGAGGAGTGAGTGAAGTGGTGCCAATTCTGAAAGAAAACTGCAGAATTATGCGCATCCTTCACCACCTCCACAATAAGCCAGCCACAGCAAGAAAACGATCAAGCAGTACGATAAGAGTAAAGGGAAAATCAACATGGGGATGGCGCCGGCCTCGTTATTTCCCATCCTCAAAGTGTATGTACAACAAACACAGAGCACTGCACAACGAAAGCGATAACAGTCGCAATTTTTTTCTTTTTTTAGAAAAATTACATGTCCTTGTAGCTAGCGCATACACAACATTATTCATATCCATGAAGGAAGAAAAAAAGAAAAAGCTACACAAAATCCGGACAAATTCTAAAATCGACACTAAAACTTCCTTCCCAATTAACTCCTAGCCTCCATAATTTAGCACAGTTTTACATAGTATTTCATACAATGATTTATGGCTTTCTGTTTGAAATTATGTAAGGAGCAATCCCGAACAAAAAGCCGTAAATCACTGTGTGAAATATTATGTGACAATAGCCTTTAGTGTCACATAATATTTCACACAGTGATTTACTGACAAGTTATTTTTCTGTTAATTCAGTACTGGAGTAAAAAAGAAGAAATTATGAGAAGCAGGAAGAAAAAAGGCCAGAAGAAAAGGGAGGAGAGATGAGAGGGAAGATTTACTGTTAAAAAAGGAAAATGCGCTAAGCAACAAGCAATAGGTCTTTTCGCCGGTAGCTAAATTTTGGGATTTTATTGAAAATATAACGAAAATAGCTGACAAAAGTTTTAATATCAGTGCTAAAATTGGAACACGAGCACACAGAAGGAGGTTACAGCCTACTGCAAAATGTATATCAAGCCGGTGGTGATGCTACTAGGCTTCTGATTTTTTTGTGAAGAGGAAAAGGGTTCAGTTTGACTGAGGTTGAAATCTAACACTCGAAGATTTATTCAAACTTTCCAATCACAAAGCAATTGAAAATTTTATCCGTAAAATCTATGACCGGGGAAACTGAGTGTGTTTCAAATTAAATTTAACTTCCCCGGAATAACGGTCTGTTTCGATTCATCGTGCCTCTTCCTCAATCAATATTTGCCGCCCGACGGTCTGCTTCCCGAATTGCATCTCGATAAGCCCGCTCGTACTCAGCCACATCAATACTCCGAACACCCATATAGAATAGCGCCCTAACTGGCCGATGATCCGAGAATATGATTGACGGGATGCTTTCATAAAATTTCTGTCTGATTCGTACACCATTTCGATACCACCACAGAA